TTGGCCTTTATTCTTCTAAATCTTACAGAGGCCTCTCATTGAACATCTTGTTAGGAGAACATAGAGTGCAAAAGGGAACTGAATCATGTGCTTCTAGAATAATTCTCATGATGGAAATTAACACTTGATAGTACATTGTAATCACCATGTCCCAACATGAATTTTGCCAGTCACATGATGAACATAGATTATGCTTAGGACGGCTATTCTTCATTGTTAATCTGACTATTATCTGGAATTAATGAAACTCCAAACTGCTGGGTACACCTTCGTGAGTACTTTTTCTTGATTGGATAATTTGAGGTGGGAAGACCCACTTTAAATCTGACACATCCTTTCTTGCAGCAGCCTATATAAGAAAACTGAAGAAGGAAGCTTATCTGGTCTCCATCACTCTTGCTGTTAAGTCCAGTCCTTCCTTCACTGATATTAGTGTGTATTTCTTTGGGATTCTGGCATGCAGTGAAGACCAGTTGAGATATCCAGCCTCATGAACAGAACAAAAAAGTATAGGATTCTCAGACTTTCTGTCAAAAGACAGCTGTTGTTGGAGTAGCTGGATAAAAACCATAAGCCACTCTAATAAATATCATTTATACACAAATACATATAAGTATATATATAATGTATATGTGTAATAATTACATGTATTCCTTCTATCAATTCTATTTCTCTAGAGAACTTTGATGAATGCAGATTTTTGTACAAGAAGTGGTTCTAGAGCAACAGAAGTTTAAAGATTTTTATTCAGAAAATTTTCTTGATAATAAATTAATGAGGAATTAATAAATTGCTATAAACACATATAGCAGTCACTTGGCCAAAAATTTGAAAACCTTCAGTGAGAGGTGTGACCTTTATTTTAATGTTTTTACTACCCAAAAGTTTCATGAAGACAACAATACACAGTTTCTATTTATGTATGTTTGTGTAATAAAGTCAGTTTAAAAAAGTAGAATAATGTCATTAAATCAGTGGTTGTCAACCTTTCTAATGGTATGACCCTTTAATACAGTTGCTCAGGTTGTGGTGACGCCCATACATGAAATTATTTTCTTTGCTACCTCCTAACTGTTATTTTGCTTCTGTTATGAATTGTAATGGAAATCTGGTATGCAGGATGGTCTTAGGTGACCCTTATGAAAATATCATTTGATCTACAAAACGGTCAAAATCCACAGGTTGAAGAAGACTGAATTAAATGTTGATCACTTTACAGATGTAAGGCAGAGACCAACCTTACACCAAGTGATTGGAAATGTCTACCTCAGCAAGGGAACGGGAACTTAGAGGAGGTTTAAGGAGCTGTATTTTAGGGATTGTTTACTTTACCTAAGGAAATTCTTTAAGAAAACACATGTTGAAAATACATTTCACTTTATTTCCTAAAAGTACACAATTAAATACTCTAATAATTGAGATTCAGAATTATGATAATTTCTCAAGGTTATGGCTTCATGCTTTTGATATTTTGGTTACTTTCCATGCTGCTGTGATAAAATTACATAAACAGCTAATGAGAGAGAAGCTTATTTGAGTTCATACTTGGAGCTTGCAGTCCTTCATGTCAGGAAAAAAATAGGAGCAGCAGCTGGAGGCAGCAGCAAGTTATGAAGGCCGGTGTTTAACTCACTTTCTCCTTTTCATTCAGTGCAGAACCCAAGCCACAGGATGAGGCCTGCCACATTTAAGGTGGGTTTTCACTCACAAGCATGCCCTGAATGAGCAGTCAACATAATCCTTCACATATGTGTCCAGTGGTATCTCCTGGGTGCTTTTAGATTCTGTTAACTGTTGTTGGGTGTATTTTACTCTCTGCTCTTTACTCGTTGGGGGGCCTGCCACCCAGCTCCCCTCAAATATACAAAGAGATTTATTCTTGCTTGTGAATGCTAGGCCTTAACTTCATTTGTTTCTAGCCAGTTTTTCTTAACTTAAATTATCCCACCTATTTTTTGTCTCTTGGCTTTTATCTTACTCAATTCTATATACATTTCTTTCTTTCTTACTCCATGGCTGGCTGTGTAGCTGGGTGGCTGGCTCCTGGTATCCTCTCTCATTCTTCTTCAGCACTTACCTCAGATTTTCCACATATTGGGATCGCTATCCTTTTAAGTTTTAAGAAAATGGCTTTCCATCATGTTTTTGAGTACTTATACAATGCTAATTGTCATGCTGTATCTGATTGTTGGGCATACAGATTTATATCAGAATTAATGACTTCTCCTACTTATGTCACCATATCTGTTCATGAAAAGTTAAAATCATTACTGAATTATTTTGCTCTTTTATTCTTTACAATGCGTTTTGTACAAAAGTAAATAAATGTGCTTAGGAAATGACCCTGCATATTAATGGCCACAGGAAGAAACTCTCAATGATGTTTTGTCCAACATAAGATTGTTTCAAGTGGAAAAAAATAGCTTTGAAGACATTGAAGTTGAGTATCATCATTGTTCACTCAAATGGTGAGGAGGGATGGGGCAGAATGACAGTTACAACCTCTTCAGTATGTTCATGATCTGTCTTCATTTGCTTTGAAACATATTCTTTACAATCTTTCAATCTCTTTTTTATTGATAAGATTAAGTAAACAGTTATAATTAGTTGTCCTGATAACTAGTGGTTGCCAAAGTTCAATCCTCTCATTGTATCTTAAAGACTGACTACTCCATCCACAGTCTACATGAACCTCACTACTGGGATTTTCCTTCCTCCTTTATTGCATGAGAAACATTTACTATTTAATATTTTGCACAGGAAAATCTTTACCTTATTCAAAACTCTTCTATTTCTTTTATAAAATTATTTCATATTTTCTAGTTATAAAAGTAGATATGACATGAGTTGGATGAAATGCAATAATTTTGGCATTAAGATGTGCAGCTAGAGTCTAAATTGGAGGTGTCCCCCAGGTCTCTCCCTTCAGAGATTGGGGACCCTGTGGAAGAGGGGAAAGAAAGACAGTAGGAGTCAGAGGGCATGGAGGACAGTAAGAGAATATGGCCCACTGAATTAACTAGGCAGGACTAACATTGGTTCACAGAGGCTGAAGTAGCAAGCATTGGAACTTTAGTGGGTTTGCACCAGGTCCTCTGCATTTGTGTTATGGCTGTTAGCTTGGTGTTTTTGTGGGACTGTTAACAGTGGGAGTGAGTGTATCTCTGACCCTTTTGCCTGCTCTTGAGACTCTTTTCCTCCTACTGTATTGCCTTGTCCAGCCCCAATATGAGGGCTTTTGCCTTGTCTTATTGTATTTTAGATGTAACGTGTTGGAGGTCTGCTCTTTTTTGAAAAGGAAACAGAGAAGGAATGGATCCTGGAGAGATCAGAAGTTGGGGGAGGCTAGATGGGGTTGAGGTAGGGGAAACTGTTGTTGGGATGCATTGTCTGAGAGAAGAATCTATTTTCAATAAAAATGTATATATTTCCTAGCCTTGTTTATGTGTATGTGCATGGAGGAGTGGTGGTGATAAAGATGTGACATTTAGATCCTGCCACTCAGTCTCTTATTGAACAATTATGTATCTCTGCATTGACCGCTGCCTGTTGCAAAAGAAATTTCTCTGACCAAGGTTGCAGGCAATCCCAGTCAGTGGATATGTGTTAAGTATTCCACAAGCAGTTTATTAGCACAACTATTTAGCAATATAACAACAGCGTGAAGTCACAGCTGCTGTTCTTACATTCACTTTGATCAAGGAAACCAAATTTTAGGCATTGATTTATGAAGTGCTCCTCAGCTGCCATCCCTTCCAGAGAAGCTATTGGCAGTTGATAGCTGCTGAGGGAGGAAGAATTACTACTTTTTAGGATGTGGTCACTGGTAGTTTTCTCATGATCCAGTGTATGGGCCTATACCCATGACTGTATGAATTTTAATAATTGAACATAATGGGTCATCAAGAAACAACACAAAACAAAAAGAGAAGACATAATTTTAGGTGGGTGAGGTATTGGAACAGCACATGGAGGTGGAAATGGAGGGTGGATATGATCATGTTTCATTGTACACATATATGAAATTATCAAAGGAGAAAAATTCTCCCAGGCCTGACTGAAAATATCAAGTCAAACCTCACTAACTCATTTGTGATGTGTTCTCTCTCCATGCTCCAAATTTTCCAATGTGATGAAACATGTTTTCAACAGCAACCTAGAGACATACTATTACTTATTTATACAATAAACACAAAGTTAAAATTATACAGATTTCTAGAAGTATATGCTATATCGATTTGAACACGTATTTCTTCAGCTAATGCTTAAGTACTTGAGTCTCAGAAAATAATTGCTTGAGTTCTAGTATAGAAGAAATAGTATTTAAACATTCCCACTCTGAATTGGAGTGTTGCATCTGTTTATTTGAGTCCTATAATTAAATGGTAGAAATTCTATTCATCTAATCAAGTGTTTGTCCAAGGAATAACTGTCTATTGGGAATTATATGCATGTTTTCACAACTTCATTTCTCCTTTTCTATCTTTAATGTATCAACACTCTTGTAGTAAGTGGCCATTAGAGAGTCATTTATCATGTAAAAATGAAGATTACTTGTCTCTTTAGTTTTCTTTATTCAGTTGCCAATATGACAAAACTAAAACAAACAGAGTCAGATTCACTTAGCCAGGAAGATGCTATGCTGAAAAAACATTAGCAATCACAAAGTGTGTTGAAAAGACTGCCTTGGTTCTGTGGTGTTATCTTGGGGTGCATGGTGCTTATAAACTTATTTATGCAAACTTACACAGTGGCATCCAACTGTCCCCTGCTATATGCAGTAGGGTATGAATCCATTTTTCTACAATCATAGGAGACACTTTATGTCATTTGCTCTTAAGGGTGGGCTTTTCACTCTCTTGATTCTTTTCACACAGCTGCATCAACCAGGGGATTTGCATATTGCTCCCTAGGGTAATCTTCTCCTTTCAAGTACAGGACAAAAGCTAGGCCCTCTTTCTGCCTTGGCTACTCTGGACTCTTCATATCAAGTTCACAAAATGAAGTGTCTTGCTCAGTTCCTGGGGCTGCTTGTGTTTTGGATCCCTGGTAAGGAAGAAACAAAGATGAAGAAAAAGATTGTGGGGAGATTGGGGATTCCTGGGACATTGCTGATGGAAATACATGCTCTGTTCATGTGTGAGATTTCCAGTCTTGTTCTCCAGGAATAGGCTTGTGAAGTTTAGAGGGTGAAGGGAGGAAACTCTGCCAAGTATCAAAGCAGATGGTCCAGGTGATTTCTAGAGATTCTCTATGTTCTCTCTACATGGGTATTTTATGTTGAATATTTATAGAATATGAATGAGTCATGGACATAATAAGTAGGAAATAAATAAAGGAAGGAAATATTATTTTTTGTCATTTTTGCTTGAACATAACCTTTCATTTCTGTTATTTCAGGAGCCAGTGGGGATATTGTGATGACCCAACCTGCACTCTCCAGTCCTGTCACTCTTGGAGAGTCAGCTTCCATCTCCTGCAGGTCCAGTAAGAGTCTAGTAAGGTCTAGGAAGGTTCTCCACCTCAGCAAAAGTGACACTTACTTGAATTGGTACCTGCAGAGACCAGGCCAGTCTCCTCAGCTCCTGATCTATCTGATGTCCAACCTTGCCTCAGGAGTCCCAAACAGGTTCAGTGGCAGTGGGTCAGGAACGGATTTCACACTGAAAATCAGTAGAGTGGAGGCTGAGGATATTGGCGTTTATTACTGTCAGCAGTGGCTAGAAAATCCTCCCACAGTGATACATCCCTGAACAAAAACCTCCCTGAGTGAGGTGACAAAGCTGCCTCATAAGTTCCTTGTTTTGGGTGCAAAGTGGTGTAACCAGCATGGCATAAGTACATACCCTTCACCAGCACAACGATTTACCAGATTCAACAACTACTCCAAATTAAGTACTCAGTTCTAAACCTTACATTGTATAATAATTTCCAGCTATATTCATATACTTGGGAACTTTATAATTTCCCTTTCCTTTGTATCCAAATTAAGAAATTTATTTTTTAACAGTAAAGAAAATGAAGAAATGGTGATCTCAGGATAGTGAAAGCAAGTGAACATCATCATATTACTTGGATTAATTAGATATCATATCAACAATGATCATGTGGTTACTCTCATTTTTGTCAATTAGACTATATATGGATACATATAACGACATGTGTGTATATGATACAAATTAGAAGTGAACATTCTATAGGAAAAAACTTTTTGGTTTTGTATGTGGTGTCATGATTTTAGAAGACACTGAGATGGATAACTGAGGACCAAGGTATGTATGTATTATAACAGTTATTAATGCTCTGGACAGACAAACCAAAGGAAATGGCATGGTGTGGAGCTACAGGGAGAGTTTAGTTTCTCATACCAGAGAGAGCTAGCATGGAGGGGAAAATCTCTGCATGGAATCAGAGCTCACTTGAGAGAAGTTGGATCTATTTATAAAGACTGGGGGAGGTTTACAGAAAGATTCTACAGCCCAGCTCTCTGATTCCCATGCACAGAAGAGAATGAGGACCAGGATGTTCCTGGTGCCCATACCTTAACAACAGCACCCTTTTGTATCTCCTTTCCCAGGTGACAGCTCCCATCTTCAATGTTCCTGTAGGGAACCGACAAGAGTGGGAGAGCCACTGTATATTAGCTAGGTGATTCAAACCTGACATGTTTGTAGAAAAGAGACTAACAGGAAGGGGAGGAAGTGAAGTATGGGAAACATATAGGACAAAATAACCTCAAGGATAATATGTACGTGCATGAAAATTTAGCAAAATATCTTTGAATACTGTTTGATCTCTCTTATTGTCAGTTTTTATTCTTTAGACATGAATGTTCTTACAGACTTAGATTTTATATGTCTCATAGAATGGCTCTTTCTAAGATTTGTTATTCATATCCTTGAGGGTTATCTTGGGAGCAACAAATATCAGAAAAGTTTTTAAGCTTCGTGCTTCTACTGAATAAAAACTGTCAGTTATCAATATAAGATGGTGTGTGTTTTGCACTTCAGTAGATTAAGGAGTAGTCCAAGCAGATTTACATAGCCTTTCTAAAGATTGTCCAGTGCATGGGTCTCTGACATTGTCTTAGAAATTCATGGCCTCACTTAGAAATTCAGTGCTCCTCACTAATCCAGAATTTCATCCCTATGCCTTTTTTGTCCAGTGGTGAAAACAAGAAAATATTTTACAACATTTTCCTCACAAAAGGGGTCCTTTCCTATGATCGGCTTTTCTCAAACAGCTGCACAGATCTGTAAAATGCATATTTTTCTCTAGGTAGTTCCATCCATGCAGGTCTAATATCAAAGTTGAACTGACTACCAATGGCACTTCAGTTTAAATATTAAGATTGAGGTACCCAGCCTTGTTCTGGGACTGCTGATATTCTGGGTGGCTGATGAGAACAGCAGTGATGAACAAGGAGAACACACAGGGATGGACACACGACTATTGGACAACGTATTTTTGTCCTTTTCAGACTGTCATAAGTTTTGTTTACTGTATTGTTTGATATTCCAGTTATAATAAGCTTTCTTTCAAGTCTGCTTTTAAATTAACTCATTAACACAACTTTGAATCCAGAGAAGAGACCAAAAATTTCTCGTTCATTCTGCCCTCTACACACTACAATCGCTTCTTCTACCTTCTCATAGCGTGCATGCTTCTCCAGTATGGGGGTCTCCTGTCACTAGATACAACTGTACAATGAAATCATTGAGTTTCCAAAATACTAGTTGTTCTTTGAAATTTGAGTTTTAAAAAGCTGCAAAAAGCTTTTATCAAAAAACTTTGAATATTATCTACCACAACATGTTATATATAACAGGTCGCATTTTCTCAAATTTCCAAGAAGGATTTTAAAAATGAAAAATCAAGTCTGTAGTTTAGTGTGGTAATCAGACTTACATATCAAAATGTTAGTGTAAAAGAGAAAAAAAACCCATGAATTTCTTTTAAAGAGAAATAATGACTCAGAAGATTGAATAGGTTTTAGAAAGTGAGACTATGGTAGTCACATAGTCAGGCATTGTTTATTAATGAGCCTATGGCTTACATATTTTGATGGGGATGTTGATGGAGTTCGGATTGCACTATGAAGCACTATGGAGACTGGCATTTATTTCTTGGAAAGAATCATTAAGTTGATTATTTGTTTTGAATATTATGACCTAATATAAACGAAGAATCAGAGAAAATAGGCACATTAAATAAGATTCCAGATCTATAGTGTGACCCAATAGTTAGGAAAAAAATGCAGTCATAGTGCAATGTGGGTCAAATCAGACAACCTTATTTACACAGGATAGCTTCAGGTTGAGAATTTGAAAACTTGGGGTTGATTATGTCCCCAAATCGTATTTGGGATGACTTAGGAGATAATTTTCATTCAAAAGAGGGCATGTACTTAAGAAAATTTGAACTTCTAAAGATTCAGTGTAAGCACAAGAACCTTGGATGAGAGGTATATAGAAAGGACTCTAAGGAAAACACTCTGAAAATGTCATGGCTACATCTTAAGAATCTTGGAGACTTTACTGTACATCTGTAACCTAGAAAGACAATAATGTTTTCTCAGAGAAGGCCACAAAGAATCCCTCAATGGAAATCAAACCTGGTTCTCAGGACTTACTGTAGGGAAAAGGGACTGGCTAAAGAGAATCACCCTGATCCCAGAACCCAGAACCAGGGAAAGAAACACACCTTGGATCTGGGACATAAGCCAGAGAAAGAAACATATTATCCCCAAACCTAGAACCTAAGAAACATGCTCTGACTCTGAAATCAGTACCAAAGAAAGATACTTTTTCCCTAGAATCAGAGCCTGTGAATGAAATATGCCCTGGTCATAGAATTAGAGCCACAAAGCTAAGAAAGGCCAGTGAAAAAAACACAGTTTGGCTCTGAAATCAAGGCCCTCTCTTCCCCTAACCCATAAAACTAACCAATCCCTGAGCAGAAAAAAACTAACCAATGCCTGGACAGAAATTCTCTCTGGAGAAACTCTGCCCCCAAGAGGTGCTATATAAACCAGCCAGCCTGTTCAGTTTTTGGCTGTTCTTTCTTATCCTGGTAGAAGCAGTCACTCTCCTGGACTCCTCCTTCCCAAAGAAATCTCTTTCTCAAAAGAGTTTTGGGTGTGAAGATTTTCATTTGCCAGTATAGTGAAGAAGAACCTTGCTAAGACATCACTTAATGAACTACACAGAAAAACCCTTGCAGAGACATTCCTTTAGGGCAACTGAGCAAGAAGGATCTGAAAAGAATATCCTTGCTGAGAGTTCTCTTAGGGGAGTCAGCAAGGTGGAGGAGAAAAAGTAACAACTTTTCATGGGAGCCATAGGAGATTGCTACATTTCTGAATGGTTTCCCCTTTAGCAGAGTGAAGCCAAAGAAGCAACATGTTGGTCTGGAGAAGAAGCAGAGCTCTGCTGGGAAGCCCCCTTAAGTCGGGGCTGAGCAAAGCTCAGTTGTAGCTGCTGTCCAGGAGAGCAGCAGGGTTGCTATATCCTGCAGGGAGACCATCCCCCACTGCACCAGGTATAGTCTGACTCCTGAACAGTCAGGATACCTTTCTCTGCAGAGCTGGCCTAACAGCTCCAAACCTGTCTCTTTCTCTCCAGAGCTGAGCTGTCCTAGCAGCTCCAGGTCTTGTCTGACTCTCCTTAGCCATCAGAATACCTTGCCCTCCAGAGCTGAGCTGTCCCAGCAGCTCCAGGCCTGACTCTCCCAAGCAGCCAGGATACCTTCCCTTCTAGGGCTGAGCTGTCACATTGCAGCTCCAGCTGTCAGAGCTGTCCTAAAAGCTCAAGGTGTCACCTGACTCCTGAACAGTCAGGATACCTTTTCCCCCAGAGTTGCAACACACTCAATCACACTTACCATGTGTCTATTCAGGGATGGAAGCTCATAATTTTGTGAAACCCCAGCCATAAGTGGAAAGAATTAGGGTACAGAGAATGGGAAGCAGTGCTGTGAAATTCTGTCTCCTAAACATAACATGGCCATCACAATCATGGTCATCACAGAAGCTGAATAGTTACACAAACCTACACAAGATCTTGACAGCTAATCCCTGTTGTAGAAATGTTAGAAGATCTCTAGGCTCTACCTGGTACCAAGTAGCTTTTGGCAGTGGATACCTGCTGTAGGCAACAGGATAATTCTTCTTTTAAAATGTGGCCAATGCATGGTTCATTATGTTCTATGGAATGGCTCCATACCCATGGGAAGCTTTAAGTAGTCTTTGTGAGTTATCAAAAAATGATAATAAAAGAATGACATGGAATTAAGACAGAGCATTGTGAGGTTCAGATGCAGGGATTTGTAAGGCAAGAAATTGTGAAAAAGATATGATCATATTTCATTGTGTCTGTATATGAGTCTCTTGAAAATAAAGAAAACATTTCTGAAAAGATTTCTGCATTTATTTTTCCCTTTTTACCAGTATTGAATTTTATGTACATTCTTTCTAGTGTACAATAATGTTGTCATGCCTTACTCCCTCCCCTCATTCATGTACACATTTCTTCTTTCCTTACTATTTTCTTTCTTTCATTTGATCTTGCTGATTTTTTGTCCTCTGCCCCATGTCTCCACTCACTTTATTTCACTATTTTTTAAGACATGGTTTCTCTATGTAACATTCCTGGCTGTCTTGGAACTTTCTTTTTAGACCAGGGTGGCCTCAAACTCACTGATTTCCACCTGCCTCTAGGTCCCCAGTACTGGGATTAAAGGCATGCACCACTAA